AGGGAATAGAGGCAAACACTGTTAACCGATGGCACATGGAGGGGATTGCAATCATTGCAATGAAACAAAATACCATTGACTGAGTGCAAAACTGATGTTCTGTCATGTAAACTATCACTCAATTCACAATAAAAGCTTAAAAAAAAAAAAAAAAGTGGTGGAATCAGGATCTGACACCTGATCTGACTCATACTCTTTACATAAAATGGACCAATGGCTCTCTTACTGGTACATACATCTCATCTCTCTCTGATACTGGGATGCCCAATGAAGAAAACAAAGATGCTCCTCAGCTCCCTGACCCCCAGGCAGAGTGGAGTCCTCCTCCTTCTGTATCACTGTACCTATACACACACCTCCAATACAGAGAGAGACGCATATTATCTATGCCAATACTCATTCCCGTCTTCCCTTACTGAACCATTAAGCTACTTGCAGGCAGGGTCTGTAGCATATGGATAATATTTCTTGATATAAACTAAAGCCAAAGGTCATTTGATAAGTGGAGGTGGGACTCAATCTAGGTCTGACTCCTAAACTTGGCCTGCTTCCATATGTAGAAGGTGAGAAGGAAAAGTGGGCACGGAAGCAAAGGGGAGAGAAAAACAGGGCAAGATGTTTATTTATTTATACATGTGCATGTAAATACATATATATAAATATACAAATCTGTTGTTGTCAAGTGGTGTCGAGTCAGTTCTGGCTCATAGTGACCCTGTATAGGGTTTGTAAGGAGCGGATGGCGAGTTTTAACTGCTGACCTTGTAGTTCAAACCAACCTTGCAGCCCAGTGCTTTATCCCACAGCACCACATTAGGACTCCAAATATACAAATAGCAATGTTGTTGCTGTTGTGAAGTGCTGTTGAGTTGGTTCTGACCCACAGCGACCCTGTACAGGGTTCCCAGGAAACAGCTGATGAGCTTTAACCGCTGACCTTGTGGTTCAAACGACTCTGCAGTCCAGCGCATTAACCCACAGCGCCACAATATTTATTGCATTCATTTTTGTACACTGTACTCTTTACACATATCAACTCTTAATTCTTAAAACAGCCCTATAGTGTGGTGGTGGTTATGTGCCGTGGAGTCATTTCTGACTCACAGCGACCCTGCATAGGGTTTCCAAGGCTGTAAATCTTTAAGGGAGCAGAAAGTTTCAGCTTTCTCGGGTGGAACGGCTGGTAGTTTTGAACTGCCGACCTTGAGGTTAACAGCCCAACTTGTAACCACTATGCTACCAGAGCTCCTTAGCCCTATAGTATAGGTCGATTATTATTCTCATTTCACTGATGAGGAATCTGAGGCTGAAAGACATTAAATATCTTGCCCAAAGTTGAAGCTAAAGTAACAGAGCTGGAATTTGAAGCTAGTGGTGCCAGAGGCCATGCTTTTATCCAGACTGCTATACAACCTCTTAACTGGGAAACAAGGGAAGGGAGAGGGGGAGAACTTAGCAAGGCAGAGCAGGTCAGTTCCCATAGAGTCGAGCTGCTCATTTTGAGGTGGCTGTCATCTACAAGTTCCTAAAAGCTGTTTTTAAACTACCCAACACTGACACAAGACAAGAAGCTCTAAAACAAGAATGTCATCCACATTCTAGCTCTAAGACCCAATCATTTCTGCATTTTCCATTAAAGATCTTGGTCATTTGCAGACTTGTCTTTAACCAAGTTGCTACATAGCAGAGGCATAATTTTAACTCTTTATCGTGCATTGAGTGAAGGTTTACAGACAAGGTCAGTTTTATATTCAACAAGTCATACATTTTATTTCATCTCCATGGCTGCAATCTCTCTAGGCAACAACAGTTATCCCACTTACTCCCTGTGGTTTCTATTTCCATTGCACACTCCTTCCCATCCCTTCTCACCTTTGGCTTTAGATCCTGAAGGACACGGTGCACACACCTTACTGGTGTTGTTATCCCCCCACTATTTACCTACCTACCGCTTGGCTGAAAATTGTCCTGCCAATTGTGTTCCAGACCTGAAGGGTGGTCGAGAGTCATAGTCTCGTGTTCCTCTAATCTCTTTCTGACTAGTAAGCCCAGTCCTTTTTTTTTTTTCCCCCATTAATTTTGAGTTTTAGTCCACATTTTCTCCCACTCTATATGGGACCTTCTAATGTGATCCCTGGATCCCTGATGTGGCGCTGTGGGTTAATGCATCAGACTGCAAGGTCGGTTTGAACCACAAGGTCAGTGGTTCAAGCTCACCAGCTGATCTTCAGAAACCCTATACAGGGTCGCTGTGGGTCAGAACCGACTTCGTGGCACATAACAACAATAACACGATTCCTTTCAGAGCAGCTGGTAGTGGTAGACAGGCATAATTTTAGGTGATCTGTTTTCAATACTATTCTAGATGCTTAGTAATTAGTAAATACAGACTCTCCCAGCTAGTTGAGCCATCACAGCTTAAAACAGTAATGCTCCTACTGTTTCCAACATTTGGATAATGCAAATACTACTGCATGAAGATCTTCATGCACGCTCTTTTTTTTTTTTTTTTTACTTATTTTATACCTTTTCTTAGGATAAATTTCAATTGCTATTGGGCCTTGCCTTACAGATTTCCAAAGGATTAGGTAGACTCATATAGGTAGGTGGTAACTGCCATGACGACAGGAATGTTTGCATCCTTAATCATAGAAAGCCAGAGCTGCAGCCCCCAGGGAGAGGGACCCAAGAATTCACAGGGCTAAAAGGAACTCATGGTTATGAACTGACAGCATTCCAAATGAGCCAAGCTATTCACCAACCTTTTCGGAATTCGGGTACATAATGGTAAGTCTTCTTTCCCAAATGGATTAGGAAGTTGGAAAGATTCCCACTAATTGCTATGGCAAAAACCAATGTGGCACATATCCAAAAGGGGCCTGCAAAGGAAACCGGAAAATTCAGAGACAAGAACATGAAGTACCAGCCTTTACACTCTTACAGAATAATTCCTTATCTCCCTTACCCTACTCAAGCAAGCAAAGGAAAATGAATTTTAGATACAATCTACACTCATTTAATGGGAATTTTCTCTTTTAAAGGTCAAGAAACAATTTGGTAATTACATACCATAAAGATTGGGGGGACTGAAATGCAAAGGTCAAACCACCTTACACAATTAGGTGACTAAAGATACTGATTTGTATATAGCTTCTTTTATTGGAGGATCATAAAATAACTCCTGGTCATTCTGTTAACACTTCACTATCAGGATACAGAAAGAAAAAAACATCTTCCCTTATTTAAATGACTAATGCTAATACCAGAAAATCACAACTTAAAACAGTGAAGGTCTTCTGCAATATAAATGGAGACTAGGGCAAGCAGAACATGTTGGAACAGAATTAACTTCATCTCATTTACCACAAAACCATGGCTGTGTGTGCGTGCATCTCTTGTGTCCTGTCTCCTTTGTTTTTTGTTAGATGCCATCGAGTCGATACCGATCCATAGTGACTTTATGCACAGCAGAACGAAACACTGCCGGATCCTGGGCCAACCTCACTATTGTTGCCACGCTTGAGCCCA